AGTAGTAGTAGTTGTAGTAGTAGTAGTAGTAGTAGTTGTTGTTGTACTAGTACTAGTACTAGTACTAGTACTAGTACTAGTACTAGTACTAGTAGTAGTAGTAGTAGTAGTAGTAGTAGTAGTAGTTTACTAGTGGTAGTTTAGTAGTAGTTTAGTAGTAGTAGTGTAGCAGTAGTGGTTTAGTAGTAGTAGTAGTAGTAGTAGTAGTAGTAGTTGTAGTAGTAGTAGTAGTAGTGGCAGTAGTGGTAGTAGTAGTTGTAGTAGTAGTAGTAGTAGTAGTAGAAGTAGTAGTAGTTTAGTAGTGGTAGTTTAGTAGTAGTTTAGTAGTAGTAGTAGTTTAGCAGTAGTAGTTTAGAAGTAGTAGTAGTAGTAGTAGTAGTAGCAGTAGTAGTAGTAGTAGTAGTAGTAGTTTAGTAGTGGTAGTTTAGTAGTAGTAGTTTAGCAGTAGTAGTAGTAGTAGTAGTAGTAGTAGTAGTACTAGGTCCGGTAAGGGTGAGCATGATGGTCACGATGGCCATGGCCATCGTGATAGCATCGTCGTTGGCGATTCTCGTCTTCTCTGTCGATTTGTCACATCGCGTGTAGTTGTCTATGTGTCGACCCGACCTTCACCCGCTTATCGTGTCCTTTGCGGCTTTTGCCCTCATGTTCCAACATCTTAGAGCTATCCCATACCACGAGACTCTGCCGAAAATGTAATGTTTCGCAGAGAGGACTAGCTGCATAAACGCGGAGAGCTTGACTAAGCAGAACTGGGGTCCGAGTTTCAACTGTGGCACTTCGCACTCACCTGCCAATCCTTTGCAAACCTACCGAAACCAACTGCACTCGACCTGAGATGCCATCTGGCCGGTCAACATGAACCTAAAACTTGGGGCGTACAGCACAGTGCAAGAGCGGCACCTGAGCAGTGCTGTTGCTGCTGATCACTGTCTGGTAGCCTTCCTCGCTGAGAGCCGTGGTGGCAGCATCCTGCACGAAGTAAGAAGTGCATGCTTGCAATGCTTGCGTCGCCTCTGCAAGCCGATGCAAACCAATGTCCTTAGTGATGATACACCTCGAATCCTCGGTGTGGAGGTGCAGCAGCCTCTTTTGCCACTTTGCAAGCCAGAAGAACCACGTTTTCCCCGCTGCGCGACCGTGCGGTGGCCATAGAACTCCGGACCTCGTTCTCCGAATCGAGTTCCAAAGCGATCCAGTCCTGCATACCTTTCCTTCGGCAGGTCCCGGGACCATGTTGGATCGTCTGCCGCAGGTGAAGATGCAGGCGGGATGGCAATTGGAAAGACCATGGGCAAGGCCCGCAGCTGCAGACTCTTAGGAATTATGACTTGCCTGGAGTGCGTTGCACTGGGCACAAACACGGCCCCATGCTTAGCCTCGTTATGAATCTTCTGCAAAAAGAAGCCACCTCTTGACATGTCACGCTCAAGTGTCGCCAAACGTGACGGGAAGTAAACTACACCCATCTCATACGAGCGGACACAGAGTTGCGATCCGCCTTTCTGAATTTCTCCCCACGCCGACTTACTCATGTTGTGCGAACCGACATAGAGCCAAAGCAAGAGTGCGTCTTCGTCGTCACCCTCGTTCAACGTGACATATCTGCACAATGTCTTTAAGTGGGGCATAGCCATGGCCCGATGCGTTGCTCGCGAGTCTCGCGAGCCCACCTTGGGACCCCATCGTCGCCAGACTGTGGGCCAGGCAGATACAGTCGCTCGCTTGATGAACAAAGATGCGCTGGAAACCCATCCCTCGATGCTGTCGCGAACTTGTCCTACAGTGGGAGCGACAAAAGTGAGCAGGGGCTTCTTGAGAAATGCTGCATGTGTTGCATCACATGTTGTTGACAAGGTGGCATGGAATTCGTCAATCCAGCTCTTGGAAAAAGCTCCAAAAGAGCTTGCCTGGCAAACTACACCGTGAGTGTCAGCTGGATGCTGCCACCCCTTAGCATGCTGACCCAGCAGCTTGCGCAAACGTAGATGGCCCCATTCGTGCAACTTGCCGGATGCATGATATCCGGGTGTGGAACACACAATGGCAACTGCCGCCGTAGAGAAATCGTATGCATGAAGCTCCGCAGGCTCGAAGCCACCACATGCTTGGAAGTACTTGACAATCTGGTTTCGAAAGTCATCTCCGAAATCATCTTTGTCGAATCCATTCTGTTGCTGCAATTTAGGGAAGTCTTGAATGTACATTGCGTTTGATTTCTCGTGAATGTCTGCATAGATGTCATTGAACGTGCGAATACACACTCGCAGACAATTCTCGTACAGCAACAGCACTATTTTGCTGTGATGCGTTCCCCACTGCAAGGGCAAGGACGGAGAATGCAGCGACGTGGATAATCCCATGCGAGCTCGTTCCCGTTCCACTCGCTTGCAAGTATCACCGCCATCCCCATACAAGAGGGACATGCGTGGCGTACGCAGGAGAGATGGACATTGCTGACAAAGCCAAGGCAGATCTATCATAAAGTTCACGAGAACCACATGTGTGGCCAACTCGTTGCCCATTGGGTGATTCTCAAAAATGTCCTGCAATGTCAGATCATCACCTCGTCAGACAAGCCATGATGTTTGTGCTTGATTGCTTGACTGATGGACTATGTACATGTTACGGCTTTTTCGACTGTGAGCTCCCAAGGGGGCAGCTGGGTGCTTTCAGCCAGCGGCCAGAATTCAGAGGCTAGAACGAAGACGACACACACCATGCAAAACATGCGACTGGGGAATGCTGCACACAATTGAGGCACGATTAGATGAAAGAGCCGATTATCCAAGTTACCGCACGTGCATACGCAGTCCATGAGCTTGTTGAAGTACAGGGCAGAATGAAAGCGTTCGTCTCCGGAGCGGCCGTCTGCAAAACGCTTGCTTTCCGCAGGCTCGGCATTTTCGTGCACGGGCACCACATCCGTGCTGTTGGCCGTACTCACTGGGATGCCAGAAGCACTTGCCACCTCGGTCCTTCGTCTTTTGCTCTCGGGCTCGTTCCTTGTACGTGCATCTACCTCGTCGTCCGACTCGTCCGACAGTTCCAAGACGCGGAAGAAGTCCCTCAAAAAGCTCATGCACCGAGGCGCAGCGACAGTACGGCAAGATCTCTATCTACACTCTCTACGCCAGTTTGTAGCAAAGCAGAACTCGAGCCGACTTTCGCAAAAAGTGCGTCTCCAGCCCTCAAAAGAGTCAGGTCGAACCGAGGTCGGTGCAATAGCTCTGTATGTGGACGCTGGTGCGAACATGGCCTAGGCTCAGTCATGACCACTCTGCCAACGCAGCTACGGTATGTGGCACTCTCGCATACTCTCGCGTTCCGGCAGCACCATTGAAGCTGCAATCCTGTAGTGGAGTTCCGCTGGTGACCTGACAGGAACAGAAACAGGTCACACGACGTGCACGCTGTCCTCACAGTCTTCCCGGCTGCAGCGGATAATCCGACCTGCCGCAGGTAGAACAAACTGAGGACCTTGGCTTACATTTGCTGAAGACATCCCACGAAGGCTTGCAGGGCGTTAAAACGCCGATCCAGTGCTGAAGAGACCGGAACCAACATTTCATGGATGATTCGGCCATGTATTCGCGCACTGCAGTAGTGTATTCGTGCGCGTTCGCGCACGAACGATTCGCGGTCGGGGAATGTGCTCTCTAGGGATTTCCGCCCTCAAATGACCGGATTCGGGCACCGGGATTCGCACACTGACCCTGCCGATTGGTCATGATTCGCCCTCCGACACGATTCACGCAGGCAGTCCGGCGTACGGGAATAGTTTGGGATGTGTTATGATGAAACTCGGATGATGAAAAACGAAGCTGATGAGGCCCTTGCCTGCCCTGAAATCCCAAACCGCCAGCACCCTTTCGAGGAGGGGCTGCAGTGCGCATGCGCTCATTCCTGCCTCACAACACCCTAAACCCCGAAAATCTCCTAAACCTGCAACCCTGAATCCTATACACCGACACATCGCGGGCATCGGCTGGGGCTTGGTGCTCGAACCGGTGCTGGGCAGTCGAGCCGGGGCCGGTTCTCGAATCGCGTTCACTGGGCGCCTTGCATAGTCCGCCTTCAGCCATACGTCCTCAGGGCCATGCACGCGAAAAAACTACTTTCGTAACGTGCAACGGCAGCCTGATTGCAGCCAGCTGGTAATTCTGAACAGTTGAAGGAGTGGAGCTTGCCGCAAGCATAGCTGATTGCCTCGAAACAGACATTTGCTGCAGTTCGGCTGCGGGGACTGCAACCGGCACGACTGCCTGTCCCACACTGCCCTCATCTGAAGCTCGATCGGCAACACAGGCAGCCATTGCCTGTCTTCTGCGGCAACACCGTCCTAGCTGCTACAGTAGCTGCTTCATGAAACTGCGAAATCCTCGAAGGCTGGTCGATGCCTCCTCCTGCTCGTGCTATGTCCAACTTAGACTTGTCTGGCAGCCATCAAGCATAGGGCGTCCCACATTCCTTCCTTCAGCACAAATCGTGTTGCATTCTGCGAATTTTGGCCTCCTCTGGCACATTCAACAAACATTGCTGCATGGATGGACATGCATGGCGTTGAAGCTGTCATGCATTCAGAATAATCACGACATATCAAGACCACGGTTTGCGTCGCCGCGTCACGGCAGGTGTGCAAGCGAGCCAATGCTTGCGATGCACCAAAACTCCTCAATGTCAGGCATTAATTGCTCCACAATCCTTGCTCAGATCCTGGCAATCCTTTCGTAAATCTGCAGTGATTTAGATGTTGCCGGCCACTTTAGTCTCTCTGCAGGCTAGATCCCAGGATTTTCGAAAGCTGTGAAGAAACAGATCTTTACTCATTCGATGTGTACGACTTCCCAACAAGGCTCAGGAAATCACAAAGCTTTCTGCTACAAGGAATACTCGCAAAGCCATGCGGACTCTTTAGCACCATGGCTCAAGCTTCTCCAACATTTATCTGATGACAGCAGGCCAAAACTTCAGAATACATTATGGACTACCAGATCGCTTGAAGATTGCAGTGTTCATTGAATAGAGCAGCTGAGGAGTCCACATCCCAGCTGATCCAAGATGGATGCTGGCCTGCAAGCGCCGTCCGTGCCGGCTCTAGGTGACGCCGGCTGAGGATCTCGGCTCCCGGCCGAGATCCGAGGCCATGGAGGCGAAGCTGAGGTTTCCGGCCGCGGCCAAGAGTCGCGCTCTTTCAACCTGCCAGCGCCGGCCGCCGCGGCCCCTTGAGCTTCAACCCGCCGCGTGGCATCTTGGGCGCATGCCGCAACTGTGCTTCCTGTGTACCTCAGCGATCGTGCCACACAGGAGACGAATGGGGTCAGTGAGCATACGTTGCCTGGAAACAAGCTCTGTCCCGACCGCGCCTCTTGGCAAAGCTCTGCAACTGGCTCTTGTCTGTCACAGAGCCTCGCCGTCACAGGTCTTGGATAGCCTGTTCAGTAAACATTATCAACGACCGGATCCTCCCATGTGCTCCACGACACGGGACACAAAGGTTGCCATCTTGTCAACGTCCTTCAAAGACAAAACAGCCTTGGTCACCGCAACTCCTCCAACACAACAGGAGGCAAAAGGAGTCTTTGGGAAGCCGGCTTCGTAGCCATCCTCCGAGATCGGAGCCTGGCAGGCCGACGTTTTCAAGCACTTTGGCCTGCCGAAAGCAATGCCGCCTTCTGCGGATCGATGACACAAAGCTCGTTCGCCTTGATACCGGGGCCTGATTGCTTCTTTGGGCTGGCAGCGGTTTGCAAATGCTATGGTGCTGGGGTGAACAAGGCCTCCAAATGCTTTCGCAAGCTCGTCAACAACAGTGACGCCGGAGGACTGCTTGTCGGCCACTTCGGTCAGGCACCTGAGAACAAGTCACTCGCTATCTGCAAACTAAACGACTGCGAGGTCCAGACCACACAGGGAAGGACGTGCCGAAGAAGTCCATGCTGGCAGAGCTCTAGCTTCACCAACGATCACGAGATCTCACAGGTGTCACAGCACCTGGCAATCTTCTGCACGCCCAAACCAAACCTGGCTCAGTTCGAGATGCGAATCCACCGTCCTTTCGTTGGAGCCCCACTGTGACCAGCCGGGGCTTGCACATGCCAAACTCCATCTCGGATCCCCCCTTGTCATAGCGAACCTGGTACTCAAAGAAACTGATTCCAGCCTGAGTCAGCTAAGGTACAATGCCGACAATTGCACGTATGTGCTGGCAGCACATGCATTAAAGACTATTCACATGTGATCTGGTTCAAAGGCATACTGCTTCTTTTCGTCGCACGCCCGAAATTCAAACTGTGTTTTGGCTGTGTTGCTGCATATTCTTTGTTTGCCGCCATGCGAGCTGTCACTGCAGGCTCTGCTCTGCACTCTTTTTACTGCTTGCTTTGGGACAGAGTTGGCCTTTGAGCAGCAGGGCTGTAACTGTAACGCTTGTCGATGCTGAAGCCGAGAACTCGATAGGAAGATGCATACCAGACATTACCAGACAAAACGAGAGCGGGGCCCACAAAGTAGAACCGAGAAATCAGGTAGACATCTCGCCGTCCTTTTTGGTCCCTCCTCTCTCCCAGTCTGTGCCCCATGAAAACATGAACCCACCGTCCACTGCTGCTAGAGCCCAGGCGCGGGCGGAGGTAGCCGAAACAGAAGCAGAGGATGTTGGGAAGACTGGTGCAAAAGTTCCCAGTCGCAGACAACCGGGGAACAGTGAGATGAGTCCAGAGGCCCACAGAACCAAATTATAAAGCCCATAAGAAGGTATGCCAGAGATGCACAGAAAACTGTGCCGCTACACGGAACAAACCTTGAGTTGAGCAGGTCCGGAAAAGATGCATAAGCAGCGCGGGGGCCATGGCTGAGGTGGGCAGCACCTAGAAAAGCCCCGGAGCCAGCCACAGCGGCGCGACAGTTCAGGTTAATAACAATCGAGAGCTTGCCCAACTACCCCTCCAGATAGCAATAGAAGCGGTCATCGAAAATTACCAAAAGCAAGACGACAAGAAGGGAAGCAACATAAAACATCTCGGAAATAGTAATCGTAAGACAAGAGGCAGCATTGAACAACACAAAACATTAGTGCCGGCGAAGACCCCAACAGTATGGACGAAAAGATAGGAGAGAGATAATCTGGGACTGGGGCCAGGAACACCAGCAAAGCGGAAACAGCTCTAAAGACGGTCACCAAGCCTTGAAAAATGCATGTGGAAACCAAACTACAGCATTTGCAGGACGATTTCCGGATTGGGGGCGACAGTGAGCTCCAGATTTGCTGAAACGAAGGCCACAGGCGTTGAGCAATTTGGGCTTGGTCGGTGGCTTCGAAAGCTCAACAAAGCGTCGGGAGGGACAAGGGGCACGAGCAAAACTGAAACAGCTTTACGTGCGTTTTTAAGCTTGGAAATTTCCATTTGAGGCCTGGAAACCGAATTAAAGCATGCTCGTTGCAGGTGCAGGGACGGCATTGAGCTCCAGATTTGTTGAAGCCAAGGCCAAATGTATTTAGCGGGCCTTGGAAATTGCATTTGGCTTGGTCGCGGGCTTCGAGAGCTCAATTAAAGCCTCGGGAATGGGGCCAGGAGCACTAGCAAAGCTGAAACAGCTTTGAATGCCTTTTCCAAGCTTGGAAAATTCAAATTGGAGCCCTGGAAACCAACGGCATTGAGCTCCAGATGTTGAAACCAGGGCCAAATGCACTTTTCAGGCCTTGGAATGGGCTTGGTCGGAGGCTTCGGGAGCTCGATTTAGGTTCGGGGACTAGGCCAGGAACATCAGCAAAGCTGAAACAACTTCGTATACGATTTTTTAAAATGTATGTCGGGGTCCTGGAAACAGGGCTACTGCATTTGCAGGACGATTTTTGGTTTAGGGGCGGCAGTGAGCTCCAGATTTGCTGAAACGAGAGCCAGATGCGTTTAGCATCCTTGGAAAACGCCTGTGGGCTTGGTCGGTGGCTTCAAAAGACCAATTAAAGCGTGCGGAGGGGTCAGGGGCACCAACAAAGCTGAAACAGCTTTAAATATCTTGTCCAAGCCTTGACAAATGCCTGTTGCCTGGTGCGCTTTTCGAGTGTTGGGACGGACGGCGTTGAGTGCTCCGAATATGTTGAAACCAGGGCCAAGTGCGTTTAGCAGGTCTTGGAACATGCATTCGGACTTGGGTTCGGAGGAGGCTTCGGGAGATCGATTTCGGCTCGGGGACTGGGGCTAGGAACACCGACGAAGCTGAAAAAGATGCATTTTCCAAGCCTTGAAAAAGTGTTCCAAGCCTTGAAAAATGCTTGTTGGAACCTTGGAAACCAAATTTTCGAGGCGTAGGGACAGACGGCATGGAGCTCCAAATATGTTGAAACCAAGGCCAAATGCGCTTAGCAGCTTTGGAGAACGCAGTTGGGCTTGGTCGAGGCTTCAGTTCAGGAGCTCGACTTGGAGCTCTAAATACGTTTTCCAAGCCTTGAAAAATCAATTTTTCGGTCCGAGAGGCATTGTCAATGGGATTTTCTTGCTTAATTTAAGGACTGCATTGAGCTCCAGATTTTGTTGAATCGAAACCCACACGTGTGTAGCAAGCCTTGTGGAGCTTGCGAGCGATTTGCTAGGCTCACGAATAACAAATGTGGAGCTTGGATGCAACGAGAAGAAACCGGACCTGCCCTCGGACCCGGAACGAACCTGGAACCTCTTCCCAGAACCTGGCCCCGCACCTCCCCGCAACCCGCCCCGAACCTGCCCGGAACGCTTTGAACCGGAACTGGAACCCGCTTCGCGGGAGCCGCCCGAAACTGCCCCGGAACCTGCCCGGACCGATCGGAACCTTTTTCGAACCCGCTCTGAAACCGCCCTGCCCCGAAAAGCCGCATTACACGCATCCAAACCCGCGCGGCCGCGTGCCACCCATCGGCCCCCAGCTCCAGAGCCACGTGCCACCCATCCAAACCACGGCCAGAGCCACTTGCCACCCATCCAAACCTCCACGGTGCCACACCTTCTCGAAGTGAGCTCGCATTACGCCGAGCTCACCATCCATCAGCAGCCCGAATTTGAACACCTGGACTTGGACTGTATCGAATGTATGTACATTCTGCAAATTCTTCCAGCCAAAAAAATGACTGCAGGGCTGCTGTGGGTCGCGGTCGGATATTGCCGTGCACAGCTGAATCAGCGTGCTGTTAATACGGAAATATTCAGAAAACGAGCATTGTTGCAAGCTCTCGGACTGGTGGAAAACTGAGCCGCAAGTCCGTGCCACACGTGCCACCCATCCAAACCCGCAGACCCCCACCCCAGAGCCCATCCAAACCCACCAGCTTGTGCCACCCATCCAACCCCCAGCCCCAGAGCCAGGTTCAGAGCCCGCAGCTCCAGAGCCGCGTGCCACCCATCCAAACTCGCGGGCCCCCAGCCACCCATCCAATCCCACGCCCCAGAGCCGCGTGCCACCCAAGCTAGAGGAAGTTCGATGTGTTCCATTTGTTGCTTATGTTGTTTACTGAATGCGGGGGTTGTATGTTTGCTTGGTTACGTGCTGTTTGCTCAACCAAGCTGATGAAACCAAAGTTGTTCTGCGCAAGACAGGCCAGCCACCCACGTTGTGTTGGTGAACTGCGTGGTTTCGCCCGCCTGCCAAAACCTTGCGCAAGAACAATGCTTTCGGGCCAAAGCCTAGTTTTACGGTATTGTTGTCTTGGGGTTGTGGCTGGTACGGTTGATTTCTGAGGTTTGCATTTTGGGCTGAAGGCGCAGGGATCGTTGCCTGGGTGTGCGCTGCTGTGGGTTTGGTGTTCCGTTCAGGGATTTACATTTGCGGGTGCGCAACGCTGTGGGTTTGGGGAAGTTTGGGGTTTGGGTCTAGGGCATAAATAATTTCAGACATTCAAACAAGGATTCTTGACTAAACAGTCGCGCAGAAGAAAAACGCGTCAGTCGCCGAAGCAAAGCATGTTTTCACAGATTTTCACACGTCTGCAGAAAGTAAGGCAAAAGGTCTCATCTTAAGCTGACTAGCGACGGTAAACTTTATCACTGGTCTATTTTTTTGACCTGTCGGAAAAATACCCACGGTGTTTTAAGCTCGTGGAGTGCTCCAAGGGGATCATTGGAAAGTTTGGTGACCCTGTCCACGCGCATCAAATCAGTGGGAACCCAATGAACCGAGTCAGCATCCAAGCTCTCGCGCACGGACTCGGTATTCACCCAAATCTCTGTCTCTCTGATCAGGGGATTTTCCACCAAAACCTGGAATTTAGCGTCTATTGCTGCAGCATCGGAAGTGCTGGCTGGGCCCTGTGAGCATCTGTGAACTACCTGGTCTCCGAGGATCTTGGTCAGGAACGAGACAGCGGCTCGAGACTGCCCACACCGCCGGAATGGCTGTTCCAGGTCTACGCTCTTTGAGACATTGCCGCTGTCAGTCCGCGAATGAACTCGGCTTGGACGCTCAAGCGAAGTGTCAGCTCCTTGCTCTTGAAGGTGAGCTGCTTGTTGAGCTCCAACAAGCTGAGGCTTCCCCAGCAGAAGGCCTTGTGGACCTCGCTGATGTCATATACAGTCGACGCGAAGCACTCCGAGGATGTCGTCGACGTCGACAGAGACTGCTATGATGCTGATCAAAAGCACCCTTGCTGTCACGCTTCGTGAGGGCCATCTTGTCGAACGGACAGTGATTAACAGTGGCGCATTCGCCAAGCCCCAGATGTTCGACTTGATGAGGTAGAGAGGCGCCTTCCAGTGAGGCGTCTGAGCGATCAGCCCATCAGCAGGAGGTCGCAGGCACCAAGACTGGCTTCTTGCTCGTTGAGGCTGTTGTCATTTGAAGAAAAGGACCCCGCTCGAACGTCCAACGTGACACCACCATTGCGAGGAACACCTAGGCACGCACGGAGCAGCTCACCCGCTGTAGGACTTCTACTACAACACGGACCAAACCGCCGACGCTACCGCCAGGATCCGCCAAGTACTTCCTGCGATGCCCTGCAATGCGCAGCCTTTGACAGCGCTCCCTTTGTCGAAGAATTGCCAGAGCAGCAAGGAGAAGACCAACAGCAGTTACCGCCAACTCCTGTGCAACTTGACTAACAGTCCCGAGCAACAAGCAGCACCTTCCGGAACCAACAATCGAAGAACCAGAACCACCTTCGGTACTGCCACAGGGATCAGTTCCGACAAGCATATCAATTGCAACGACTGCGGCTAGTTCAGTTACAAGTGACAAGCAGCAGTCACAACCAATTCCTATGCAGCGTGGTCCTTTCGGAAATAGCGCTTCTTCAGCATCAGGGTCAGCTACCGGGGAGGCTCCTAGCTCACAAGCAGGTTCGCGCCCCGGCATGGACACCAAAGAAACGTTTTTTTTTTTTGACACATTGACAACGCTTCTCTCAGACGGAAGCCAATTTCACTGATTGCTTCTTGGCGAGACCTTCCACAAAGAACACCAGCGACTCTGACGTCGCAACCATGACAAGTCCGGCGACCGGAGACACGCAAGGAAGGGACCGTGCAGTTCCTTGGACATCCTTTGACGGTGATCAAAAGGTCCACGCGTCCCAGACCACTTGAAGGCAATCAAGAAGGAGGTCAACTCCTGGGCACAGTGGGGCAGCATGGGGCAGCGTGGAACCTGTCACGCAAGCAGGGGGCAAACGTGCTCAACGACAAGAACTAGATGCTGTCCAGACGATTCTTCGCAGCCGAACTTGCTACAGAGTAGGCCCCGTGCGGCCGAAATGATGCCGCATAGTGTCATCAGCAGCTAGACTTGCTCAGCTTGAACCGGCAGGCACCTGATCCTCATGATTCTGGTTGCGAGCTCCACGGTCAGCTCGGCGAAACAAACCACACGTGGACAGGCTGGCTGGCTAACGCTTCCACCGACGCAGGTTTTTTCTGACAGGTTGGACTCAGCGTCGTGTTGTAGCTGTCGGTTCCGCTGGCTTGTATCGGCGGTAACTCTGGTGGCTGCGGTGAGGCATTACTTTACTTTTGAAGCGCATGTGATCTCTCGGTTTTGCCACCGGCCGTCTGCGAGATTTTAGTGGTGAAATCGTCCGTGAAACGAAAGAGCTACGTGACAGGCTCCCTAATCCGCAGACCCTAAAGCAACAAGAAGTGCAGCGCTGCAGCGACCTTCGTTGTCTCAAGAATGCAAAGTGGTCGGGCTCCAGGCAGGCGGCGCATGGCGGCGCACAGGCACCCCACGTGTTAGACGTCTTCAAATCTCGGGAAGATGACTGGGTGGCGTGGATGGGCTTTCAAAAGGCAAACACCGCACCTGCCCAACCCCAGCTTGCCACGGCTGCGGAAGCGGTCGCAACTGTGTCATTATGTGCACAAGTGCAGTGCAAAGCACGTGCACAAGCTGTTCACGCGGGGCATGGTCGAAGTCCTCCGACCGGATGAACGCAGTGGAAAAGTAGCAAAAATTGCAGTGTGAAGTTGATTCAAACCCGGATGCGAACTTGATCCCTGCATTGCTTAGGCGCAAGCATCCGGATAATCCGATGAACCTTTCCTTCCTGCCTTTGTGCTGACAGACGGTCAATACCTGTTTGATCCTTCAACCACTGTCTGCACTCGGCCCGGCGAGTGATGCGCAGTCGGCGCCATTTTTGATTTCAATGCAAGCACGCGTTCCACGCAGCAACGATTGCCCGAGCAGATCTTCGTAGTGAAAGTGCCCGAGACTCTGCGTAGTGAAAATTTCCGAGACTCTTTCACGCCAAATCGACAAAGCCTGTTATTAAAATCGCGCAATCGCACCAGTTGTAGTGGGCGGCTACATGCGATTGGGAGCATGGGACGTTAGTAGCGAAGGCTTGGAAGATCTCGTGAGCAAAGTGATGTTCCATGATGTTGCACTCGTGCTGCCGTCTTCATATGCCGATGCTCTTGCGGATGTGGTTTCCGTGTAAGGTTCTTTCGCGACGGAATGGGCAGCATCACACGCATGAATCACTCTTATGCCCCTTAGAAGCCAAAAAAAATATGCGAACGAGCCGACTGCCTGAAACCGTTCATGCAAGAATGGTCCCTGTTTTCCACTCTACTGGAAGATCCTCTCACAGACTCACAGCACTGACCATGCAGCACCACCGTGATTCGGGCCTGCAGTTGCTGACACTGCTGACTCGAGGTCAGAAACTGTTGTCAAAAACTTCGACGGATCTACGTCTTGAGCGGGCATGTCTTCACAACTCTGGAAAGTCAAGCATGCCCACGCGAAAGCAATGCCTGACCGCGTGCTGTCCCGGTCCTATCAGCCAGAATACCAAACAGACCAAATGACTGGGCGACCTGGTTTTCACACAGCCAACCAAGGCCTTGTATCTCGATAGCGACTTTCGCACCGCGGTTTGGGCAAAACCCTCCCGACCGTGCTTTTGCAGCTGAAGCGAGGGCCGGAAAAGATAATACACATGTCGTCTTGCGAAGCAACATCCCTCCCTCGTTCCCAACTCCATTGACAGCCTTCCACAACTCCAAAGTGAGGGCAACGGCAAAACTGGTGCGAAAGCACGAGGGCTACAGTCTGAGCCCACAAGCAACGAAAGCGAAAGGGATAGAAGGATTTGTGAGAAACTGCTCCCGATGCATCCCAGGAGCCAAGCTCGAGCTTTCTGCGATGGACAAGATTTTCTGGAGGTCCTTCGCACGGTGATTGTGGATGCAGGAAACTGCACTGAAGGCTGTCTTGCACTGTTGCACATCTGTCGCAAACTGTTGACCGATAAAATGGAGACTTTCCGGGACATGAGAACTACGCGGCTTCTGCCCCAACCAGTCGAACTGACTTGACGGAACTGCAGATACTGCAAGACGTTTCGAGCGGGGAAAGATCCAGCTCGAAACTTTACTTTGCCCGACCACGTTTGACACCTCGCCTGCCTAGGCAGAAGCCTTGTCTCTGCGCTGAAGATGCGCTCTACAACACCCTTATGTACTTCTGTGCACCCAAACGTTAGAGAGCTAGCGAATGAAGTGCCGCAGATGTTCCCCGCTTGTCCTGGCCAACTGGAACGTGCGGTGCATGATACTCACCGATAAAGACGGGAGTCGTGGCAAACAGTGCCTTCGCGAATCCAAACTCCGCACACAAGTACAATGAATGATACCATGTATATTGTAGCCGCCTCATAGTCATCGAGGAAAAGTGGCTTCATGTCGGTCGCGGGGTTGTTAGTGTTGAAGCTGTTCGTGAACCTGCATGTCACGAGAAGAGACAACATGCAGACACACAAGCCGATTCATTGAGCCGACCGTGATCTGTAAATCTTGGCCAGATCGTTCTTCGGTGTGTAACCATAGTCCTGCTTTGCGAAAACGGAAAGGGGCCAGGAACGTTGAAGATCCACAGGCAGGCATTGGGACATTCTCCGAGCTGGCTTTGCCTCCGGCTTCTCCATGGCACGTCGCAGCTCCAGCATCTCGGTTTTAAAACTCGCCGCTACGAGACGTGTGAACCAGACATGGACAAAAGGGGGAACCGCTATTTCTGCCCAAGGGTCTTGTCCGAGTGAGGGCTTCGACTTCGATCCCGGACAAGCCTCAGGTTTGCTCCGAAAGCCATCCGTGCATGTTCGCAAAAACAAGGCATCCACAAGGCATACATCATGCAACAAGATGCATCAAGCGCCAGCTGACGGTCAGGAGGGCTTTACAGACCCACAAACTGCTGACCGGAATCCAAACACGCGGCCAACTCGCCACAACTCACCGCAAGCCATGTGCACGCCATAAGCCATGAACATGTCGGCAGAGCCGAGCGACCGTGCAGACTCCGAAGGAAAAGGTGGCCGTGAAGTTGGGGAAGTTCGCACTGGCGCCAGCCTCCTGCAAGGACAAAGTTGATCTGCTATTGCCTGAATGCTGAACCTCTCTGCTGAACACTCCTTCTCAGCATCCAGCATGCCGTCGATAGCGCTTATGATCGCCCTTTCAAGGACAAACGAGTGCAACTCGCTTGAGCAAGCCACCCCGGAAGTGTCAACTTGCCGTCAGCTTGCCGTCCTGCTGAACTTTTTGGGCTGCGACTCCCCTGGAATCTTCAGGTCCGGTTCGTTGATCACTATGATAGTCCTTTGGGATGAACAGTGTGCGAGACAGAAACAGCGCAGCTTGTCAGAATATTCCGCCGAGCAGGCAGTAAGCTGCTGGCTTTAGGGCGGGATGATACGAACCGGCTTTGTCGAGGAAGCCATTCTCCAGATTACTCTTGTACTGCTCTTTGATCTGCGAATAGCAGTTGTATTCCTGCAAAGCTGTATTGCAAAAGACTGCACCATCGAAGCAACATCGTGAGAGCTCACAAGAACCATTGAACCGTTTGGGCAAACCAGCGGGCAACTCGTCACTCGTCTCATAACCATTGCAGGGATCCGGCCACGACGGACGCAGTCGACCGAGTCTGCCAAGCTGCGAAAATCAACAGAAGCTGAAAAGCTGTCCGTGTCAAGCACTGACTCAGGTGTCACAGACGGTGCTCCGAGTCCTCTGACACGCCCCGAAACCCTAATAAACCCTGAAGCAGACTACCCTAAACCCTATTCCCTGAACCCTCGCTCGTGTCATTCCTGACACGCACGGTCAGGCGCTGGCGCGAAACCGCGAAAGTCCTGACACCTGTGCCAGGCCCGATGAACCCCCTTTCCATCCCCCCCTAGCCTGAACTATGAAGAACTGGATGAGGCTATGTAAGCACACGGATCTCGTCGGTGGATGACTAACAAAGAGCTTCAGACCAAAATACGTGTTTGCCCGTTCAATCAAGGAAGAAAACCATGCACCGGTCCGTCGTGATGCAGTTTTTCGGCATCTGCGTGTATGGGTAGTCGCTCATCCCAGGTATTACCTGCCACCAAGGCTTGATTGGGTCATATTATTATTCTGGCTCATATTATTCTGGCAATCCATGACACCCACACCTGTAATCCCTGACTGTGGGCTTCATCCAGGAATGGTTTGTGATCCTGCGCAAGAGCGATTCTCGTTTAATGGAACCGGAACTCTGAACGTCCTCTCGAGGATCATTGCCGTAAAGCCGTACCTGGACACGAGACGACTTTATTGGATTACATGTCGAGTCAAGGGAATTGACACTCTCGGTATGGCAGTATGGGTCACCGCATTGGCTCCCAGCTTTTTCATGATGGCCAAATCTCCACGTCCAGATGTACTCCACTGCGCCTCTGAAACACGAGTACTAGACGAATTCCTTCGTCCAAGACTTGAAACCTGTCCTTGGCAGAGTCTGCCATGAAATCATCGTTGGGTAACCTGCCTGCCGCCTGAAGTGCAGCCACGCTGACACACATGATCCACACATGATCATGGAGTCCTTGAGCGGAGCGGGCCCATAGCTGATCCCTTTCAAGACTTCCTGGCTCTGGCTGCAGATCTCCGCAAAATGCAGCAGAACGCCGCTGCTCTCGTTCTAAGACTCCTGCCTTGCTGCCTCCTGCCTCTGCCATCTGAGAGATCCTTAGTCGAATTCTGGAGAGAGAACAACAAGCACCGCGCCACAGCGCATGGCAATGGGGCGAGAAAGAAGATACGCCCTGGCCCGCCGCGCCTTGTGCAGACCATAAGAAGGAGCCATCCCAACATCGCCTGCAAGGAAGGCAATCAGGGAGCACATCTGCTTCAGATTGACTTCATCGTCGTGCAACATCTCATCTGTTTGCCACACTACCAGCCAAGCCTTGCAGAGCCAAGCGCCCAGCGGCCGTGGGTGACTGCAAACTAGGGTCCTACACTTGGGCCAAATGGCATTGCGAAAACCGACCTTGTGCAGGTGCAGCGGATAATGAGAGCAGATTGTGCCATGATGACCAAAAAGCCAGCTGGCATCAGCACATCTTTGATGTCTGCCGGTTAACAGCCTTCGCCTGGCTGATCGTGCTTCAAAGGTGCTACTCCCGCTAGTGAGCTCACGAACTCCTGCGGCAAGGTCTCCTACGCAGAGCACAAGCAGGTGTGGTTCTCAACTCATGGGCGTTGCCGAATATTCGATGACCTTGCATAACGCAAAGAGATCATTTCGTTCTTCTGCACACACGCATCTTCTGCGCAACTTCTGCCAAACCTACGTTGGAGAGTCCCTAAACTTGATTTGGGGGACACCCCCACCCCCTTCCGCCCCCCTATCCAAAATCTCAAGCTCGCATCTGCAAAGTCGACAAATAAATTCTAAAGCGAGAAAAATCGGCATGACAATAGGAAAGTACTGTAAATACCAAGTACGATGGGCGTGCTCTTACGCAGGCGTAGAGCAAGTTTAAGTCGTGCCTCCTGCTGCTCCCACAACGACTACTACTACTACTACTACTACTACTACTACTACTGAGAAGGGTCTCGGCTGGAGCCTGAAAGGAGCGCTTGTGTAGTGTGGAGCCTCGTTTGTTTCATGGCTTTCTCTGCGCTTTTTACGCTGTTGCTTTTGGGCGCTCTCTACGATTGGAGACCATCGCTCCTGCTGGGTGGGTCCCAAATCCCGCCGGACCTCCACAATTCTTGATCGAATCGGATGGGGACCGGAGGTTCAGACTCAAACCCGAGGGGTGGATGTCCACGAGCTTCTATTGCTGAAGCAAAACTTACCTGGAGGGGATTCGTCAACGGCGAAATTATCCTGGATACAGACCCCAGGCGAGCTGTAGCGACAGGTGGAACAATGTGCAGGGGCAAATCGCGCACGCGTGCTAGCTTGGCTGGGAACCCAATTGGACAGCGGCAGCCGCAGCGATCGAGGGAGCGCAGCACTGTTCCGAGTGCGAGGACCTGCGGACACATCACAAACTTCGAATTCTGACTTGTAACCTCGGGGGTATGAGCTGGATACGGAATGATACGGACACAGGATGTTGCAGATATTGTCGTGCTTCAGGAAATACACTGGGGACAGGGTGGGGAAGAAGATACATCGCGCGGCTGGTCCTTCGTGGTGGCTCCGGATGCGGCCAATCGCTTCAGTGGGGTGGCGGCAGTCATCTCCTATGAATTTGACATCAGGTACGTGCCTTACTAACCACTGTGGCCGCGAGCCCAACTGGGGGTATCGTTCCTGACTGAGTCGGCTTCTGGTAGCCCAGCGAAAGACTGGCGCAAACCGGGGGTTGCTGCCGAGGTGGGCGCTCCGGCCTTCTCTGGCCCAGCCTCTGGCAGCTCCGGTTGGCGGTGCATTTGCTCGTTTCGTTGTCTGGCAGCGAACAGCTACAGGCCACATTTACTCCTGCGGAGGTGGTTGATCTCACTTTGGACGTTGGTGAAACTGAGCAAACTTCCATTGAGATTGACGAGACAGGCGAAGTTGCCAAGTGGGGTTGTATTATATTTTTGCATAAACATGCTTATCCCTGAACGTCGTTACCGTGTTTGCTTTTTCTTCTTACCGTTGTTCATGAAAACTGTGTTATCGTTGTGTTATCTTGTTATTTTCTTCTTATCATTTTACCATAGAAACCCATCCAAAACCCAACAAAAGACCTGCCAAGACTCAGGCGCGGGTTTATTATACAATCCCAAGTGTGGAGTTCGAAGAAAGGAATTGAATGTACGACGAAAACGACGACGACGATGACTACTACTATTACTGCTACCTACTACTACTTACTTCTACTTGCTTCTACCTACTGTTACGTACTACTATATACTTACTACTAGGAACTACTAGTGACGACTTCTGACGACTACCGGCCACTACTGACGACCTCACTACTACTCACTACTACTTCTACTTACTACTGCTTACTACTGCTTCTTACTGCTTACTACTGCTTGCTGCCACCTACTGCTTTCTACTACTTACTTCTACTCACTACTACTTACTGCTACTTACGACTACGACTACTACTACTACTACTACTACTACTTCTACTACTACTACTACTACTACTACTACTACTGCTACTACTACTACTACTACTACTACTACTACTGTTTTATTATTACTACTACTACTACTACTACTACTACTACTACGACTGCTACGACTACTACGACTACTACGACTTCTACGACTTCTACGACTACGACGACGACGACGACGACGACGACGACGACTACTACTACTACTACTACTACTACTAAATTACTACTACTA